CGTCCTGCGACACCGATGTTAGATCCGTCTACGCATGTGAATCCTCTGACGAGCAGTGGTCCCGCCGAGGGTAGGGAGACAGAAGGGGAGACAAATGAACAAGATAAGAGGAAGAAGAAGAAACGGTCGGATGATGTCTCAAAGCATACGTTTTATGTCCAGAATTCGCAAATGCGGTTGAAGTTATGGGCAAGAAATGAGGTTGGTTCCTCATGTTGAGTGACTATACATTACTGACGAAGGGTGCCCTGGACCTAGCGTCAAATGTTGCAATGGATTACTGCCCTAGAAAAAGCCGCTGCTGCCACCCCATTCATCGCAAAAAATCGCTTTGACAGCTTTGCTCCAGTGCGATTGAACGTCGCTGCTCAGTGGCTTGTTGATGGGGTTCGTGTCTCCTTTTCTCCATATCATCTGACATTGATTACAAGGAGTAGCGCGACTATATGTGGAATTTGTCTCGGGCTATCCTCATGGCACAATCGACCATCTATATTCACGACTGGTGGCTATCCCCTGGTACGTCCATGGCTCATCATGGTAGTCACGTTGTTTATGTAGTACAGAACTGCAACTGAGGCGTCCTAATAAACCCAAGTATCGCTTGGATCATCTGCTTGAAAGAAAGGCCAAAGAAGGCGTCAAGATCCACATAATTCTATAGTGAGAACTTTTCGAATGTCGGTATCTAGTGTTATTGATCTGGTTCTAGCCAGGAAGTTTCGAATCGAACTACCCCCACGGATAGCAAGTAAGAACTGACAAGCGCGTCGTAAATTTTGTGGACTCACCGTATCATAAAGTTATGCGAAGCAACGCCTCATGTCGCTACACCCAAACATTATGGTTCAACGTTCACCTTCACACTTCCAAACTGGTACATTCTACTGGGCACATGTAAGGGTCCTTACGCAAGAACGCAGCTACCAATGACATATCCATAATAGCACGAGAAGCTTTGCGTTATTGATGAGACTATAGCATTCATGGGAGGAATTGACCTATGTTTCGGAAGGTGTGCAGTTAATTCAGACGTCGACCAGTTTTCATCACTGAAGAACTTTAAAGATGGGATACGCCACAGCACGTCATCGTCGATGACCCAGAGCTATCGGCAGACAAGACCGAAATCTGGCCAGGTACGTTTTAGCTATACGGTAAACTTAGGAATTGGCTGACTATGCATCACAGGCAAAGACTACAGTAACCCGCGGGTTCTTGATTTTCATGCGCTAAATAAACCCTTTGAGGACATGTATGACAGGACGAAGGTGGCCCGGATGCCTTGGTACGATAGTTTGTGCTTCAGGAAATATTGACATTCACAGCTCTTCCCCGAAGGCATGATGTAGGTTTGCAAGTCGTAGGCCAGCCTGCTCGCGATCTCGCTCGACATTTTGTTGAAAGGTTTGTCTTCAAATTCATTCGCTCGAAGTATATCATCTAACTACCGAGCTACAGATGGAATTATTTGCTTCGGCTGAAGGTGTGTTTGTTGCTTGATAAATCTTTTGACTTCGCTTGAATTTTATCAGAACCATTCCCGAACCATGCCTTTCCTGCTACCTCCACCTGAGTTCAAACCTGAAGAGCTCGCTGCAATGGGTCTGACAGGCACATGCGAGATGCAGATCTGCAGATCAGCCGGCCCTTGGTCGCTCGGTACTTCCAATCGAATTGAGCATTCAATTCAAAATGCATACCTAAAAGGTCGAGCATCGTGGCTTACGCAGGAAATGTTACTAACATAATCTTTTAGCCATCGAGATGTCGGAACACTTCGTGTACATTGAGAATCAATTCTTCATAACCTCGTGAGTACTCACTGCTCTGCTACCACTGCTTGCTGATTTGTCTCGCAGGACCGTCGTGAACGATGTCAAGGTTGAGAACCAGATTGGCGATGCGTTGGTCGATCGGATCATCCGCGCACATCGTGAGGGCACTCCGTGGAAATGTTGCATCGTCATTCCCCTCCTCCCTGGCTTCCCCTTTTCCATTGATCACAGTGACGCTAGCGCAGTTAGTTGGGAAACACATTTTCCGAAATATTACTGAATAAACGTATCAGATTCGAATCATTGTCGAGTGTCAGAACCGCACTATCAGCCGTGGGCCCAATTCGATATTTGCTCGACTTCGCAAAGAGAGTATAGAGGTGCGTGGTTGATTTTACGATTGGAACCGCTGTGCTTATTCTTTATCATTAGCCTGAAGATTATATCTCTGTTTTTTCACTGAGAAACTGGGCTAAAATGCGGAACGGTGTATTGACTACTGAGATAGTAAGTGCCTATGCTGCTGTGCTTTTGAACCCCCTGACCACGCTATAGTTATATATTCATGGCAAGGTATAAATACCGATTCAATCCTTGAAATTGAATACTCAGACCCACCGATCTCATTAGGTTTGTATTGTGGATGACCGTCTGGCAATTATTGGCAGTGCAAACATCAATGAGCGTTCTCAACGTGGCGATCGAGATTCCGAAATTGCTGCAGTCATTCGAGACACTGACCTAATTGACGGGTACGGCTTTCTCGGTCTCGTCTGCTAATATTCTGATAGCCGTGGTGCATCAGCACGATGGCAGGAAAACCCTTCAAGGTCGGGCGATTTGCACACACCTTGCGAATGCGGTTGATGCGAGAGCATGTTGGTGTGGATGTTGACGCCATGATTGATTCTGAGCCTACACCCCAAGAAGAAATCGAGCCTGATCATGAACAAGAATGGGACCTAGAATTAGAGCAAGAGCGTGGTGATCGCCATGTCACTCAAGCCAAGCACATGGATCCCATGTCTAATATGCTCCACACTGCAGGCGAAGATATCAAACGAAGTTCGTGTTCACCACAGTCTCGAAGATTTGAGAGACTAAATTTCGATTAAGCTGACAACGAAGCTACTGGGAATGCTTTCCACCACCTCAAGAAATTTGTTGGGAAGGTGGAACTTTACAAACCAAACAATCCGGAGCAAGATGCATCTCTGGAGGAGCGTATGTCGTACATTTGTGAAGGCAAGAAGGAACCAGGAATCCCTAGCATAATAGTCCCAACTGTAGAAGAGGCAGTTGTTCAAGACCACCTGCCTCCAGGTTCAGAGGCTGAGCATCCTCCTTTGAAAGACAAGCTCAAACATCAACTGGGCGGAAACTCTGACCCCGTCGAGAAGCGCACACCTAATGGGAAAGCGAATAGTGCTCCGGCGCTTGCGTTAAAGAATCTACAGAGCGGTGACGAACCACTCCATCTGGAGTCGGGAGCCAATGACCCCGACGCGCTTGAGAAGACTTCTCTGGGAACCAAGACCCTGCCCAGGAAGTATCTCACTAGCAAAGTCGGCAATAAAGCGTGGACTGTATCGATCCCCGCTCCCCATGTAGATCCAGAGGGTTTTGAGGACCCGATATCTGATGCATTTTGGAAGAATGTATGGATTGCTTGCGCTACGTATAACGTATGTTATCTTTGCCTAGGAGTGGTGGATAGACTGATTCTTTTTCGCAGACCGAGATTTATCGCAAAGTTTTCCATGCTATTCCCGACGACCACATTACGACGTGGAAGCATTACAAAGAATTTGTTATTCACCACGAACGCTTCTCTAAGCTGGTTTGTGGATCTTTTCTTCGCTATACCCCTCTCAAATACTTTTATCGCATAGGCAACAAGTAGTCATTCGTCCTACCCAGCATCCCAAGTACCCTCAGAGACAACGCACGAAGACGGACCATATCAAAAGGAAGGTTTGGCGGATGCCGCTCAGGAGAGCCGCGAAACCTTTTGCACCAACGATGGAAGCGACGGCGCCCCCTCCAGAGGATCTCAGCTCCTTGACAAGGACACTCGTAGCCGAAAACCTGTGAATGGGATAGAGCCTTTCACCAAGCAGGAACGAGATGAAATGGAAGAGCTGTTGAAAAATGTCCGTGGACACCTTGGTGAGTGCCATCCATTACCCCCATCATCAACTTCTTCTCATATCCTCGAAGTTGTGTATCCCAACCGATTCTTGGAAGGAGAGGACATGGCAGGGAACTTTATGTTCAATGCAGACAGGTGTGTTACATCACATCCATATATTTCATGTTGTTCACAGTTACCAGGATGCTACCTCTCCCGATCTATAACTGAACCTTCTCCACACCATCAGTTTCACGGACCCATCTCGCATGAAGAATCGACACTGTATACGTATTACGCGCACCCCTAACATATGCTTTCGAGGTTTTGCCATTTATTTTTTCTTTCAAGCCGCTTCCATATCGAAGACCATCTTGTCTGGGAATTTTCCCGCTACGTGATCTAGTCTATTGGCAGCATTAATATACGCACCTTCAAGGTACGGACCGGAGAGGGCCCGGTAATCAGTATGCGCCTGATGCGGGCGGAATTCATCCAGTTTCTCTTTGTTCTCGAACAAAAAAATGGCCCCTAGAGCTTGTTGGACAGCAAGTCACAAGCTTGTGTGAGATAGCGCACCCAAGTCATAGCCGTGGTCGAGGGGGTGGAGGACCTTCTCTCCGGTGATAACGCTCTGAAGCGCGGATATTCTTGATGGAAGCTCTTTGATAAGTTCCTTCACATACTCTCTTTGCTCGGGGGTTGCCTCCGACTTGAACTTGTACAGGACTTTGCTGCGTTAATTCCAAGCAAGACGAGGGGGTCTGATGGAAAGTTACCTATATTGTAGATGGTCATGATGAACTCAGATAGAACCGGGAAGTGAATGGTCGCTCAAAACCTCGGACGTGTGCTAGGATCACTTTGCAGTGTCAGCATTCTCTATTTGAGACAGGTGTATGGTGTATGACATGGACTGTGTGCATGTGACGATATGGCTTGTCTGACAGAAATATCTGTCTATATAAAAATCATAGTCGGAAGCCGAAGTGGAGGATTATCAATTTCCTCATCATGATAAGCGCAATAGATTTAGCCATCTACACGACTCTACTTAGTACAGCACGATATCAAACTAGAGAGTTTCCCCTCTAAGCTGTCTCGATATCAAAGATGAGTTTGTCTGACAGCGCCCTGTTCAGATACAGCGGTCTTTGAACAACAAGAAAACACACCTTCGAGATAAGGTGCTGTGAACGCCTGATAATCAATATGCGCCTTGTGTGGGCGATACTCGTCCAATTTGACCGCGCTCTCGAATAGAAAAATAACCCCTAAAGCAGTCTTATTAATCATCCGGGTTGTAGATACGATGAGAGATGCTGTACCGATATCAAAGCCATGTCCAAGGGGATTGTACACTGTTTTTCCAGCAACGATGCCCTGGATTGCAGGTATCTGGGATGCAAGGGAACGGGCAGAGTCTTCCACACTCTGTCGTTGTTCTTGGGTTGCCTCAGGCTTGAACCTGTATAAGACTGTGCAATGTGTGAGCGCTTGAAGATGGACGAGAGAGAACGATAAAACCTACTTATATGGTGAATCGTCATGGTGAACTAGAAAGAAGGAAGAAAGAAGAGTCACATGGATGTTGTATCCCCAACATATATATATGAGCACGGCGGCTCGGTGTTACATAATTTTGTCCACTTCGTCATCCTGTGCTGTGTATTTGCAATGCATTCCCCTCTAGACTGGTATAAGCAGCCCGCCTTTGAGGCAAGCTGACGATAGATAATCAGACTGGTGAAACTGCAGGGAAATTGGACATGGTGCCAGCACTGGCAACTTGGATCGGCGTCACTTTCCAAAGGGTCAACTTCCCAAAAAGAGGTGCTTTTCCGGGGGTCAGCAAAGGTTCTTCTTATTCGGGCGCAACGTCACATGAAATTGAACGTGCCAGTTTGTCTGTCGACGGCTTGCCTCATGGACGGGTCACTCGCGAGTCTACATCCGAGTATTCTGCTGTGTTCTCAACTCTTGATCATCCAAGTTTGTTTCCGACTTCGTCTCCATATTCGCATGGCACCTCTCATAGATCGAAAAACTATTGGAAATACGATGTCTGTGCCATTAATGGTGTACAATGATGAATGCTGCAAGTTTCATTCAAAGTCGCGCGTTGACGACTTGTTTAAACAAAGTACAGACCGATCAAGCCGGCGAGAGGGTTGTGTATGCGAGGGCGGGAACAATTCGGCTGCAGAGGGTGACGATCATCTAAAAGCAAAAGTCGACTTGAGCTTGTACTAGTCTGGGGCGACGACGGACTGCTAGCACTGCAGAACCGATACCATTGTGACTCTCACCCCGGGACATTATAAGCTCCTAAACGTTAGCTTGTTTTTGGCGTCAACCTGACTCAGAGCCATCCGAAGGTGTATCACATTCCGACTCACGGATGAGGTGAATGGATTGAAAGGTGATTCAGTTGATTCAGATACCTGCGAAGTAGCATCGTATTGAGATTCTTCACTTCAAGGGCCGCGATCCGAAGGCAATTCATACACAGCAGCATCTCTAGCCATCACCTGCACAACATCCTATCAAACTAGTTTCCTCTCTAGGCGGATGACTCGATATCAAAAATGAGTAGACCTGCACCCAACCATTCAATGAAAGCGATCTTCAAACAAAAACAAGACATGCCTTCGGTCAAAGGTTTCGCTACCTCCTGATAATCAATATGCGCCTTGTGTGAGCGATACTCGTTCAACTTGGCTTCATTCTCGAACAGGAAAATCACCCCTGAGGTACGGTCTTAATGACCACTCTGAAACAAGATGAAAAATGGCATACCTTCGTCGAAGCCGTGTCCGAGACGGTTGTACACCGTTTCACCAGTGATGATGCTTTGGATTGCAGGTATCTGCGACTGAAGGGCGCTGACGCTGTCCCTCACGCTCTGTTTCTGTTCTGGGGTCACCTCGGACTTAAACTTGTACAGGACTGTGCTGTACATTAGCAACTGAATTCAACGCTTCGAAGGAGGCTTTACCTATGTGGTGAATGGTCATGATGGATTGAAAGGGTGAGGGGAAGTGATAGCTGAGCCCATTTGCTTGATGTCTATTTAAGCAAGGGTCGGACTAGAACTGAAACTAGCGAATCGTTTGTGAGGGCAATGCAAGAGGTTCGTAATGATTATCGATCAATTGAGGAACTACAACGGACTGCCACATCATGATATTGTGCACCGCAGCATCCTGATCCGAGCGGGGGCACTGCAACCATTACTAAGGTCATAGTTGAGCGCTGAATTCAAGTATTCATCATGCATCAAGGCTTTAGCTCCGGGTGCTTCCGCCCTCTTTACGGCGTCCGGTTTGCAGCTACTCAGTACTCAGTATTCAGCTTTTTTAGAATTGATTATTAATGTTCCATCATGTCAGTTTTATACGCCAAGTCTACAGCACGCCGTGATAATCAGTAATCATTGATCCATTCCGACAGAGGTTAATCATAAACGTCAAGCGGACCAATAACTCTGCTGTGGACTGCCGAGCGACAACTTGTGGTCCCAAACAAGAACACCTACGTGACGGCTTGTTTAAACAAAGTACGTGGCGAATGCTATTTATGGTGAGCAGCGGACTTATCAATGTGAAGAAGCATCGTGACCCCCGGCGCTCACTCCAGCGTATCTTGGGCACAGACATAAGCCCCTAAGTGATGGGCACTATCAGCTTTCGCAAAGAACTGCCATTTTGACGTCGACTAGTAGAGCCGCCATCCATCACCCATCAATCAGGTGTACGCATTCTGACTCACGAATGATGTGAATGCCCATAGTTACGACTCGAACGTGATTCAGTTGATTCCACCACCTGCGTATCAAACATTACGTTTTATTTCAAAGGTCGCGAGCCGAAAGTGAATTATACGCAGCACCTTGAGCTATCACTTGCGCGAGCAGTACAACATCCTATCAAACTAGTTTCCTCTCTAGGCGGATGACTCGATATCAAAAATGAGTAGACCTGCACCCAACCATTCAATGAAAGCGATCTTCAAACAAAAACAAGACATACCTTCGAGCAAAGGGTCCAATAACGCCTGATAATCAACAAGCGCCTTGTGTGGGCGATACTCGTTCAACTTGGCTTGACTCTCGAACACGCAAATGACCCCTAAGATACGATCTTAATGACCACTCTGAAACAAGACGAAAAATGGCATACCTTCGTCGAAGCCGTGTCCGAGATGGTTGTACACCGTTTCGCCAGTGATAAGGTTTTGGATTGCAGGTACCTGCGACGGAAGAGCGCTGACGCTGTCCCTCACGTTCTGTTTCTGTTCTGGGGTCACCTCGGGCTTAAACTTATACAGGACTGCGCTGTGCATTAGCATCTGATTTCAACGCTTGGAAGGAGGGTTTACCTATGTGGTGAATGGCCATGATGGATTGAAGGGGTGAGGGGAAGTGATAGCTGACTCGTCCATTTGCTTGATGTCTATTTAAGCAATGGTCGGACTAAAAACCGAAACTGGAGAATCGTTTACGAGGTCGATGCAAGGGGTTCATAGTGATTATTGATCAATTGAGAGCTGCCACATCATGATACCGTGCACCGCAGCATCCTGATCTGAGCGGGGGCATTACTAATAGTAAGGTCGTAGTTGAACGTTGAACGTTGAGCGCTGAATCATGCATCATGATGCATCAATGCTTTAGCTCGATGACAACATTTGAATCACAACTTTAGTCATACCAGTGGTAACGTACTAGCATGGAAACAATATCGTGATGGCATCACCACCGCCCTGCTCTTTGTCTGGCGTCCAGTTTGTGTAGTATTCGGCTTTTTTTTAGAATTAGTAGTAATTCAAGTTGTTATGATGTATCTGTGTGACCAACGCCGTGACGCCATGAGTCCCGCCGTGACCAACCCGTGACGATCAAGTAATCGACCAGTCCCGAGCAAGAGCACTGTGCGACCTAGAAGTACCAATCACTCGTAGACCATCGAGTGATATCTCATGGTCCCAAGCAAGAGCACGTTATGCGACCTAGAAGGAACAATAGCTCTGCCGTGGACTATCGAGTGACACTTTTTGGTCCACTGCACACAATGCGCTTCTACTTCTGTGGATGACGCTGTGGCGGTCATTGTTTATGAAGTGAGTATTTAAGGACTCCTACACAGTCCAAATCAATTTGACATTGGCTACTTCATCATGCAACCTTTTACCCAACTTTCATTTCCATTTGGCGACCTTCCAGTTGAGCTGGTCCTCCTTATCCTTAAATATGCGGCACAACCCAGTTTTTCTCAGATTGTACCATACAAGTCTAAAAACCCATACTCATTCGCCCTCGCTCTCTGTCTTGTCTCTAAAGAGGTCAGGAAAACGGTGTTGCCCGAAATTCTTCACACTGTGCTGCTCCCGCAATTGCGCAACGTGACAGCGTTCGTGGACACCTTACGTATGCAGCAGGCATACGCTCAGCAAGACTATCAATTCAAATTTGACTACGCGAAGCATGTACGCAGGATGTGGATGGGACAGTTTCGTGGCTCCCTCTCAGGACTTTCGCTCAACGAATTCGGACAAATGCAATCTGGGCTAGACCTCAGTCCCCTGGCTCCTGTCCTGCTCGCTGCACCGTCCATCGCAGTCGACTTTGAGAATCTGGGCCTTCTGTCAGGTTGCCTTTTCCATGCCTGGAAATCTCCGGTTCCGTACAGCCCAAAAATCTTGATGGTGACGGGTACTGAATCCATGACTCGCCAATGGTCGTCCTTTATCAAGACCGACCATGGAGCGGCTTTCCTTGCTTCTATATCTAATGTCATCTCCATTACACACACGACAACCGACAGTACTCGGCACCAGTGTGGCATCTGCCACCGCGATAGTGCATCGAAAATCTACAAGCTGCCTGAGTGGATGGCGCGGGCTCCACTCAGCAATCTCCAGACTTTTTCGTTGCCCATTCCGCATAGCGCCCACACGCTTGCTGAATGTGAGCCTACTGGAACGGACATGAAAGTAGAACTTTTGACGTTCTCTGTTTCCAAGTTGTCGCCGCGCCGACGCACGCTCAAGGAACTAAGGATAATTCAGCAAATGGGGAGTTCTCCGTCCGATCATGGTCTTTTGGCGGCGTCCCGTCTTCGATCATCCTTTTGTATCCTTTGTCAAGATTGGCTGAAAGCTTGGGCCTGTGGATTAGGAAGCTGACTGGTCATTGTATATGTATTGCTACCAGTTTCCTATTAGCGTTGGATATCTCATGACATATTATATTGGAATGATGCTCGCAGGCACTCGTTGCATGTACGCGCAGCTTTAGGATCCTCCATAGTAAAATTCTCTTGCAGATAAAATATGTGCTGCTGAATACACAAGAACAAGACACTCACATCGATAGGTATATTGACAGTGAATGCGCCAGCAACAATACGAAGACCCACAAGCAGCGCGTCCCCGACTCTGGCGGCCTTTAAATTAGTGGAAGAGGGTTCTGTGGCAAGCAAGGTGTAAGAACGGCTATCCGACCCCAGCACACATGGAGTCACCTCGGGATTTGGAATTTGACCTTTACTTTAAAAGCAGCAGTGATTCGCACACTAGCTCGAGCGTTCAAACGTTCAACACTAGCTATCGTCTATGTTTATCATTCAATGCTACTTCTACCTCAGCCCTATCGGGTTGATTTTTCGTTTCCGCAGCGACTGGAAGGATCGACTCGCGAAATCCTGTTGAACTAATGCATAGTGATTAGATGATGTACAATGCGGCAATTATGATCAAGAATAACGTAGGACTACAAATGCACACCGCTTTCTTCTTCATCCTCCCCAGTTGAATTCGATGACCCAAGACCCGAGTTGCCTCCCGGGAGAGGTGCGTCCAACGGCTCGAGTCCAATATCACCAGTCCCAAATCCACCGCTGGCATGCCTACCATTTCTACTTTCAGGTGCCGGTTCAGGAGGAAGGTCATAATGAGCGCCAGTGGCATTCGACGCTCCACGCTGGGTGAGCGCCAATTTGAGCATGAATATTCGCTCATCTTGCGATGCTCTGTGTGAACGCGTGCGTCGATCTCAATAAGTGCAGCAAAGTCCATGTACTGCCTTGTACTGACAACGTCTGGTTGTTTTCTTTGATTGCTTGTGCGATGTCTGGGTCGTCTCCATATTCCTGGAGTTCTTCTTGCGTGCGTTTTAGATGGGAAATTGAGTTTTGAAGACGACTGATCTCTAATATTTAATGTTCAAGTTGGTCCTTGGATATGCGTCTCTAAATCGTGATTACATACCATCGGCAGAAACTTCGGGATCAAAGGAGATAGCTTGCTGAAACGTGAATGGCTGAGGGTGACATGGAGTAAATTCCATCGTGCTCCTTAAAGTGGGTGTGTGGTAGTCATGAACGAACCACTGATCAGGCCCGCTGACATACTTGACTGCCGATTCCCGCCAGGTGATAGTTGGAGTCGTGGCGAATTATTGAATAATGAGTATTCGGGGTCCGCTCTATACCGTCTGCAAGACTCAAGTTGTCGATCGAATTCAACAACTAGATCATTCAATACTCGGCACAGTCGTAATTAGCCATCAAAACTAATAAGCTGCTCTCAGTTGCTTGCTTTCTCGCGTCATGGACGAGTCTGTCGCTCTCGATGCTCTTGCTGACACGCTCACAAGACTATCCACGAATTCGTACAGTGTTGACCTCCATGTGCAGCACATTCGCCTGGCAAAGTCTATGGAAGACAAGGATCAAATATTAGTTGCTCTCGAAATGGCAACAAGCTATATAGCAACACCAGACGAAGTTTGGCTACCTCTCATTGACGCGAAGACTGCCGCGAATGATATAAATACGCCAGAGGGTGCACTGGAGGTGTTGGGCGTATATTCGAAGGCAGAGCAGGACTACATGTGTATGTGAGCTCAATATACGTTCTGGGAGATATTGACAGGCTACATCTAGCCTTCTCCATTTTGCAAAAGCATCTGGAATTCCTAGCCGACCGTCACGACCACTTCTCTGGGTTGGAGGTTCAACCAGATGGTCTAGGAGAGCTGTTTTCTGATGACTGGACTCGGGAACTCATGTCGATTGTTGTTTCCAAAGGCGCTGGTGACATAGCACAAGTAAGTTTGTCAATACAAACAACACATTACTAAACGCCAACGACACGCAGAGTCATATACTTTGGGATCAGTATTACAACTGGGAGCTTGAGATACTGGAGAAGGCCTCGATGGATAAGAAGTGCGTTGCAAAGTTTCGACGCTTCGACGACTCGTAGCAGCTCGCTTATGATATGTCAGGCCCCTATTGGTCGACGTGATTGAAAACATCCTGCTCGCTCGTCTCCAGCAACCGCATGCCAGTAAGATATCATCATTCACATACTTTTTCGATACTAAGGTCCCAACCATAGAGCATCAGGACACCTATCAATCATACTCCTCGTTTACAACTGCGCACAAGCCTCCTAGTGAATACGAATCGCTTCTCATATCTGCGTCAAAATTGCGTTCACGGGCCGTCAAAGAATATGAGAAACGAGAGGCGTCGGAGATGGCATTGGTAAGCAAACTACTTTTTCTTCGTAAATTTCTGACTGTTCCTCTGTTTAGGCAGCTGCTGGATACTCACTCGATGCATACGCAACCTACATCGCTGCAGAGCGACGTCGAAGAGATCCGGATTATCTCATTCTTTGTGGATTGTACGAACGCGGCCTTGCAGAGGCATCAAGACGCCAATTTGCCGGCGAGCTTGGCGCAGAACGGGCAACACAAATGTTCTGGGTTGGATACATTGATTTTGTGAATTCACAAGGTCAACGTGCGGAGTTTTGGCAACGTGCGACACGCAGCGCACCAGGCTCGGGCGAAGTTTGGGCTCGATACATTCGTTTCCTGGTAAGCTCAACAAACCTTGACCCGCTTCCTCACCATGCTTATTCTCACGCCAGGAACGGGAACAAGAGTCCGAGGCCAGTACGGATGAGATGGATGCCGGTCAGAATGAAGATATTGAAGGTAAATAATGGTGTTGGACTCCACTCCTCGTTGTCTTATTCATTTTTTTCAGCTGCCTACGCTCGTGCACTCTCAACAACCCTGTTTAGTAGGGGCAGGAAGAGTGATCTTGAAGTTGACGCTGACCAAATTGTACCTTTGGTTCTCGCTCGTGCAGGCGCGGCAAAGCGCGCAGTTGAAGCCGGTCGTGATGACGGGGATAGTCTGGCCACCCTCATCAAGGTCGTGGAGGATGGGATCGCGATGGTTCGCCAAGGTAAGAATGTATGCTGTTTGACCCAATTATTGATAGCAACGATAAGTACCCTTCCTTTAGCATCGAGCAGTGGAGATCCCCGCTTCAGGCTAGAGAAGTTCTTGTCTGAATTCGTATGTCAATTCATGTGCGCCGCAAATAAACTTAGCGAACCTTCCATGTAGTATCTCAGTCTTGCGGACGTTCCGGATGCTGCCGTGCAATTATGGGCTTCCACAGCGGCTCACTATAAATCGAGCTGGGCGGCTTGGGTGGCTTATACTGATGTTCTCATGTGCGCTCCATTCATTTTCATTTACATGGATGTTCAGTTAATCGTTTCCAGCCGCACATATCATCATGATCTTGCTCGCAAAACCTTCCAAGATATGAGCACGAAGAACCTGGACTATCCAGAGGCCCTCTGGGATGCATGGCACAACTTTGAACATGCGCACGGGTCCCTTTCTTCTCTCGAGGAAGCCATATATAAAATCACTCAAGCAAGAGCCCAACTTGAAACGCGGAGAGCGCGGGTAAGTGCGCTCTCATAATAATTTGGTAACAACTCAACTGCATTTTAGGAGGCCGAGAAAGCATATACAGCAGCGGCAGCACAGTATGCAGAGCAGCAAGCTGCATCAATGCCAACTGTATCTGTTCCCGCGACAGGTCCGACACAAGATTCAATACCGATTGCCAGTGAAACTATGGATGTCGACTTCCCAGCTCGAGCCGACACGAAAGGGAAGCGGAAAGCTGAGGAAGAATCCCTTGTTACTGAAACCGGTGGGGGTAAGAAGCCTCGCCTCGGTAAATCATTCATCGCCGTTATTGCATTGAGGTTTTAATGAGAACTGTGCTTCCAGAAACTCCACCTGTTTCCCTGAAACGGTATGGATGCCTTTATACTCGAAAGGATATTCACTTCACACAAATTCATGATCAGTGATCGAGAGAACTGCACCGTTTTCGTTGCCGACCTACCATCTGAGGCGACTGAAGCCGATCTAAAGGCATTGTTCAAAGACGCGAGTGTTCTATCCTCCTAACTCTGTTCCTCCTATATTTCTTTCTCACTTCCATGTACTCAGTGTGGCGATATCCGAGACATCAAATTCACCCGTATGCCGGAAACACTAGTCGCAACGGTGGAATTTCATGATAGGGTAGGTCACATCATTTTACGGACCATATCGTGTGTACTGACACGTGTATTACTTCCTAAGGACAGTGTGCCAGCTGCTCTTACCAAGGACAAGAAGAGGATACATGAAACCGAGATCGGCGTGCATCTAGCCTGGCGCTCTACGTTATATGTCACGAACTTCCCAGAAAAGTTCGACGACGCATCTATTCGTGATTTGTTCGGCCAAGTGAGTCATTTTTCTGCGCATTATATCCCCAATCTGATTGAGTTCCAAAAGTATGGCCTTATCTTTGATGTACGATGGCCAAGCAAGAAATTCAAAGCTACACGACGTTTTTGCTACTTGCAGTACACATCTCCAGTTTGTGACACTCTTTTTGTGTGAACTGTTGACATCTGACTTTTGCACGGCAGTCGTCAGCTGAACGAGCACTTGAGCTCCATGGTCGCGAGCTGGAGCCCGATCGCGCTATCAGCGTGCTCGTCTCAAATCCCGAGCGTAAGAAAGAGAGATCAGATGCAGATGCTAATGAGCGAGAACTCTATGTTGCTGGCCTAAGCAAATTTGCGACGAAAGAAGACCTAAGAAAAGTCTTTGAGACTGTGAGCCCGTTCTATGTGCAGTGTTTGGTTGCTAAGGGTTGTTTCTGTCAGTATGGACCCATCAAAGAAATCCGCCTTGCGGAGGATAAGAGCGGACAGTCTAAAGGTTTTGCTTTCGTCGATTTTGAATCAGAGGTATGGTTTCTGCGAACATGCAACTAATTTGTTGTTCATCGTGTCGCTCTGTAGACGGATGCTCGTGCTGCGCTTGCTGCTAATAACTATGAGCTGAAGAATCGACGTATCGCGGTCACTTTCACAGATTCTCGTGTGCGTGCGAAGAACAAGTTCAGTCATTCTCTCGCATTACTGTACAACAAATTTACCTTATCCGCTTTTTAGAGAGCGCACAGCCGAAACAGGTCTGGGCCGCCGCGCTGACGCCCGAAATCGTTCTGTTCGAGTTCGAAACATTCCCTCGGGAACACAAGAAGGACTACTTCATCAGCTCCTGGAGAAACATTCTCTCGTTAAACGAACTGAGGTCTTCACTGCTTTGAACGAGGCAGTGGTCGAACTTGAAAATCCTGCTGTTAGTATTGAGTTCATACGATCCGCAGAATCCTAGTGACACGTTTATAGGAGGCTGGGAAGCTACTGCTTAGGACTGAACCTATCATCTTGGGCGGGAATGTATTACAGTTTTCTGAAGAGCAGGTAGGGCCTTCCCATGGCCAGCCTGCGGCACCGCCGCCAGCAACTGGGGGCATGTTTGTACCTCGGGCAACTGGGTCTCGGCCGAGAGCGGGCCTTGGTCGTGCCCGCAAACCTGGTCTTGGTGCCACGCAGGCGCCATCGAGTTCAAGCACCCAGCCACCAGAGCAGAAGGGAAAGAAGGGGCAAGATGACTTCAGAAAGATGTTGGGTTAGATTATTGCACACGGCATACATCCCTATCAGATTCTAATACGTTGAACTCACTCATCAGTCAGCTCTATATACTGATAGTCCATCTAACTCACATGTTGTGGTTTCGGATCCTATTTACGATAGGTAACGACTATGAAGGAATGTCTCTACCACGAAATAATAAGGACCTAGTAAAGTTCCATGTATGTCGTGGGCAGGACATCCTTTTATGGGAGGGAGCGTAATAAGGGTTTAAGGAGGGGATGAAGTGTCCAGCGCGCAATAGCTATGGTCGTATAATAATGCAAGCATGGCGTATGGTTATAAAAGATCATGACTAACTACACAACAGCACAGCGCGAACCAGGGGGTGGCCACAGCTTAACACCCGGTGAGAGTATTTGTGGGAAATTGATATCCACCTTGTGCCCATGTTGTGATGTTGGGGTCAGTGTATGCGTTCAGGTGACTGCGCAATGTGAGATATTGACTGATAGTAAGAGGATATGATGGATACGCACTTATTGATATAATCCGCGGTGGGGCGGTTTGGTGGATCGCAGGTCAGGCCATTTTGGACGCCTTCCCGCTGGTAGACGCGAAC